AGTCTCTGCCCAGAACCTTGTCAGGAACAAAAAGGTAGCAGTAGTCACTGGGTAAGGCAGGCGGGGGTGAGTGGCCGAGAACTGTCCTGGGGAGATGGGGAGGTGGAGAGGTGGTGGGAGGAAGGGTCCTGGTGAGTTGGACTTCTGAGTATGCCGTAACCCATCTTAATAATTTCTAGATTGCCATTTCAGAGCCTTACACCTTAAGCTCCCTTAGGCATAGCCTCTGAGAAAATGCACTGGTAGCAGGGTCATGTTAATGGCTGGTGTGGACTCTGGGCTCCTACTTATGTGTAATTTCCCCCTAGCATCTTTCTGCCGTGGAGGGTGGATGCGGGGGACTGGCGCCAGAGCAAGTAGAATCCCCTTTTCCTCTCTCTCCGTAGGGGCTGTGCGGGCCTCCAGTGTCTTCCCCATCCTCAGCGTCACGCTGTTGTTCTTCGGTGGCCTCTGCGTGGCAGCCAGCGAGTTCCACCGCAGCAGACACAACGTCATTCTCAGCGCCGGCATCTTTTTTGTCTCTGCAGGTGAGTATCTGCCACTAGACCTGAGATCAGCGCAAACACCCAACCACAGCCGGGACCACAGAGAGAAAACAATGCTATTCCTTCGGAGGAAAGAGCAATAAAGTGTTCGACTTGTGTTAAACATAAGGACTCAAAGATTTTAATTCGAACCAAAGATGCTGAAACTTTCTGTTCACTTGAATGTGTTCCTGTACTAAATCTAGACCTTTGAGACGTGTGCTTGCTAGTTAACCACTTTTTGCAGTTTTTCAAGTGCTCAAGCCTTCCCATTACTCAAAACATTTCTGGGAAGAAGTGCTCATACGTAAGTGGGCTCAGAATCCATAGCAACCCTGTCCAGAAGGTATGGCGGGTGGCAAGCGGGGATGACAATCCTTCTCTGCTTTTCCTCATGATGCTTCTTTTCTTTCTCCTCTCTCCCTACCTAACCTTCCTTCTCTTTCCTCTGGGCTTCTGCCTCTCCTAGCATCTCTTTGCCATCTCTCAACCTCTCTCAGACGTTTCACTGCACTTTGCAGGAACGTTTTCAGGGAAGCAAAGAATGAGGCAGAGGCAGAAAGGGACTTGACCCTGTTGGTTGATGGGATTAAAATTCGCTGCCGTGATGGCACAATATTGCTTGGGATGGAAACAAGGAGGAGTAAAAAATGATGGGTAAGAGTCGGGGGCATTGCCATCTCCTGAGTTTGAATCCTGCTCCATCGGGGCAGCCTCTGACAAGTTACTCATTCCTCATACCTTGGTTTATGGGACTGTACAATGAGAAATACTAATAGCACCTACTTGGCACCAATAGTTGAGCCATGGTTACTAACAGAAAGGTTGGCTCTTCAAGCCTACTTAGAGCCCACCCTGGGAGAGCACTTGGCAATCTGCTTCCAGAATGGTTACAGACTAGGAAACGCTCTGGGACAGTTCTATTCTGTCACCGTGGAGTCACTGTGAGTTGGAATCCGCATGATGGCCTGGAATAAGGATCACAATAGGCATCTACTTCACAGGATTGTTGTGAAGAGACTGAGTGCCAGGTACAACATTCCACTTTAGCTCGGGAAAAGCAACGACAATAGAGTTCTGATGTCTGGAGCCTGGCATGAGGATCCCTGGGAGACATTGTTTAGGTTGTTTCCTCGCTCTAGACCCCCTTCTATAAAAGGGAGAAGTTGGACTCCACCTAGCTGTGAATGTCTGGGAACCAACTCAAGCAATCGACCCGAGAGGAGGTCACCATCTTGCTGCAGAGGGATGTGGTCAGCTCATCGGCAATTGTGGTCATCATCTGTGGATAAGGGGGAACAGCTGGCAAGTCCAGGGACTTGTGTGGTTTTGAGCATGCTCCACTACCTGGTTGGTTGCGTCCACACACCTCCGGGGCTCTATTGACCCAGAGAATGATGTGTGCTTGCATGAGGGTTTTATAGCAGGAACGATTCATTATTTGTCTCCTAAGAAGGTTGTTAGGGAAGAGTGTGTCGCGGCCACTTTCTGCTCACAAAAGGTATTGTAGGGATGGCAAGTAAATTAAATACCTGGAAACTATGAGGCCCTGAGACAGTGGGGAGAGTCTCAAAAGAAACAAGAACCTTGGAGCCTAACTCTGAACATCCACACTCAGATATCCCTGAGAGCCTGAGCTTAACCACCAGTAAAATGAAAGTATTGGAGGTTTTATGACCCTCTTAGTATCCTTTTTGCTCAATCACACTACGGTTCTGTGGTTTCAAGCAAGTAGTCAACAATGCTGTATGTGCCAGGCACGGAGTCTAGGCTCTGAAGACAAGCTGCCTAGTGCAAATCTCAACTCCACTACTTCCCAGATGTGTAACTTCACACAAACCTCTGTGCCCTGGTTTCTTCATCTGAAAAGATCAAAATCATAATGGTCCCTCCTTCTAAGGCTGTTGTAAGAATTGTATAAGTTGGAATATACAAAAGGTCGAGACCAGTGCTTGGCACATGGTAAGTGCTGAGTAGATAATCACTGTTACAATTTTCATTGGACTCTTTTATTTTCATGCCAAACCATTTCATACACTAATTCAACAGGTTTTCACTGCCCCCTTACTATGTCTGGGTAAGGCTTTGGGCTAGGAGAAGGGGTCATAGAAGAGGGCGTGG